AATTAACTTTTACCTACGTTTTTACTAGACAATATTGAGAGATAAATAGTAGCAGTTCTCACTATGTGTTAAATATCTTTGCCTTCCATACATTAAATTAGAAAGCTGACAAGATCATATTGCTTATTAACATCTAAATGTAACTTTTTGCATGGAAAAAACCCTCAACTTCACTGATGTGTAGGTGATCTAGTATTGTTTAATGGAATGTATATCAGTGTATTAAAGTCAATACTTCATTTATTTAAACCAATATCTTTCTTGATTCTTTGTACAGTATGAAAAAGAGAGTCTTTGTACCTGTGCTGAAGTTCACTGCTGTGAGGAGTCCAGTTCTGTCTCTCACTCTCTGGTCCAGCCTGTCTGCATCACCTGGACACCTTAAACAAACAGATATATATGTAAAGTACCATGTGTACAAACAATATAACTGATTCTCTTCTGTTGAACATGTTGGATTGTGTATTGTCCGAGTCAGGGTCCTTTTTATTCTACTGTAACTTTGGAAGTTGTGTTACCAATGCTTACTGTTTATTTGATACCCATTTGGTAATGCAATTCATAAAAACAACAAGGTTTGGGTTTGTTCTTCAGATGACTGATGTTCACGTGTAAGCTCAATAATGAACTCCAGCTCAACCAACCATATTGTAATATCTAAGTAATCATCTTGAAATATGACATTAATAATTGTAATATACACACATCTTATTGTGAGGTTGATTTCACATACACTACTTCGACATTAGCTTGTCTACATACTTGAGCATAGCCAATTTAAATTAACCTTAGCGATGCATACAGTTCCTACCTACATAATAATCTACTCTCTAAGTTACAAGGATGACCTTATTTTATCAACCTCAAACAGAAGCCGTTTGTTGTACAGTATTATCCCACTTAACGCTTAACACTTGTCTATTTCGTTTTAACCTTTATATATAGTCTATGATTTTAACTTGGAGGCTACTATTAGCATCGTTAGCACCGATGTAGCTACCACTCGCTTACACGCTAACCCAAGCCTTAACATTAATTACGTAGCTGATTAAAATCATTAACACATAAATAAGTACTCGAATTTCACTTACCGCATTCATGCACCGTCTGTTTCAACCGCAGAGCGAGTCACAATAGTCCGATATATAAGCATGAAGAACAAACAAACACGGCCGGGGGCAAGTTGTGTTCCCTGGATGAGCTGAACAGGCAGAGTGCCTGTAGCTTCACGGAGCAGCTAGCAGAGAGACAAGAAGCTAACAGCAGCAGTCACTTCACAGAGCCGTCACTCAATGTGACCACGCCCTAATTTATGCAAAAAACTTTAAGACCTAATATAAATAAAAGGGTCTTGTTAGAAAACAATTCACTCACAGATCCATAATCATGAAGGTGGAATCTAACTATATTCATAATAATATTTATTGCATCCATGGTTAGAAACATGTTTTTTTCTGCTGTAAAGTTGGGCATTTTAACATGGGGGTCTATGGAAATTGCTCCTTTCTGCAGTCAGTCTCTATCGGCCAATATATGAACTGCAGTGTGCGTCCTGGCTCTTCCAGAGTTTGCCGCTTGGTCTGAAACCAGAGCCCAGTCTGCTCTGATTGGTTAGCTGGCCTGCTCTGTTGTGATTGGTCAACCTCTTAAGAGATGTCCCGCCCCTTACATACAATGTGTTAGAGCGCAAGCCAATAGGAGCGCAAGTGTTCCATAATGATGTCATTATGTTCAGGAAGTAAACAAAAGAGTCCAATGGAGGCATTTCAGGCAAAGGGGGTTAGCTTAGCATGACAACAGTAGGATACATTGCCTGGGTGATTGAAAGTAACACAATCAGCATACTAGCACCTCTACAGGTCAGTTATAAATATGTAATAATGTATTTTGTTCATTCTGAAAACAGATAAATTGTGTTTTTTTAGGTGCTGGACTTTTTCTGGATTTCTTGATCTTGACTTCCCTTACCTTACGTGATGGCAAAAGGTCAAAAGCGTCGAGGAAGAAAAGACAGAGGCCTTGGAGGAAGAGCACGTAGTGGCTATGTTCCCACACCAGCAGGAAAGTGAAGGTGGTGGCACTCATGGTAAGATAGCAAAACAGCTGCAGAGAAATACAGTGCATCACTGTGTGTGAATGCAGAATTACACCTTACTTTGATATGGTACAGTATGTTTTTGTGTTCACGAGAGGCTCACCTCGGTGGCAGAGCTGATGTTATTAGTCAGGAATCCAGTCAAAGCTGCAACCTGGCAAGAGAAGTAAGGCAGAGCCCAGTTGTCCCGCAGAGGAATTGCATAGTCCACTTTGGTTGTGTCAGGTCTGAGGAAGAAATAACCTGTTATGTCCTGTTGTTATGTCACAACATGCGCTGCGATTCCCCACTCCCAAGAAAGGGTCAGCAACACCATGAAAAGCAGTTAAATGACTTCGGAAAAATTAGCAATGCCCAAAACAACAAACACAAACGATAGCTAAACAAATAGAACCTTAAACTTCCCTAACCAAAGAACAAGTGCCACATTGACAGAAGCAGAATATAGATGAGGCATGCAGAGAAAGCAGGCCGCATGATTCCTCTTACCTATTGATCACATACCAGGCCACGGCCAACATGCCGGCCACCCAGGTGCCGCTCATCACCCAGCTACACACAAACAGGGCAGACACATAGATCGCCTGCAGCCCAAACACGGCTCCGATGTAGAAGTAAATTGGCTCCACAAACTCCTGAAGGCAGAGACATTGTATTGAATACGGGATTCTGGTCAGTTTGGACATTGGTTCAAAACCTCCAGCTATGCGTCGGGATCCTGCTCACCCTGTCGGGGTGATACGGTGTGCTTATTGATGTAACCTAATTAAGTTTAACCATACGACAAAATAAGTCCATGTTTCTGTTCGGTGCTATCGTTATTCATTGCCATGTAATGCAAAACAAAAGCTGACTTCCCTCCACTTTTCCTTACTAAGTGCACTGAATAATTTTTTGCAATATTATGTGAATAGTTCACTGCAATGGCAGCAGATGAGACTTTTTAAACTACATGGAGAATCATTGTTTTACTCGGCATTGGTCGGTTTAGTTTGGGGCTTTTATTGTGACTTTAAATAAAATAAAATAATGCTTCTTCTTGTGCCATGCAGCTCCACTTGTGTTGACATGGGCCGGATTGAGAAGATCAAATACAACCCAGCATGGCACCTCAGGGCCATTTCCAATGGTAAACCAATGAATCTGACAGGTAAAAAACTCATTTAACTGTCTCTATTAATACTTGTTAAACTGAGTCAAACCAGCTAAAATAAAAATGCTCTTAACCAATCGCTACATAAAAAATCAAGGCATTATGACAGTTTTCAATGTGTTTGCCAGTAATTAAAGTATTTAGTACCTTTCTTCCTTCTCTCCATCTGGTAAACAAATATGACACCAATGTCTAGTCCATAGCATATCAGAAACAACAAAACCCCGCTCACCTCGCTGCCTGTGAATCTGTATATAAAGCTGGTGATGAGCTCTGGGTACAGAGACAAGCGCACCACTGCGTTGATGGTCTGCCCTGCAACTGTCCTGTTATCCATCATCAGCTCATAAAACCCTGCAAAATCAGAACATTACACATGCTTTAGTCACAGCAGGGAAATGTACATTGTTACGTCACATGTACAATGCAGACAAAATAAAATAAGAAAACTAACATTATAAAAATGAAGTGAAGTAGCAGCTAGTAATAACAAGAGCAAAATGCAAAAGTGTTCATCGCACTGTTGAAGCCGTGGGTCATTGCACAAGATGGTTTTTAGTCTATATTGGTGAGTATACACAAGCGACCCTTTTTTCCTGTATACACCACATAGCTGATTGACAAGGGCATAGTGACCTTTATAGGTAGTAAGTAAGTTGTTTTGTTGTCGTATTTAATATCTCTCTAGAATAAGAATAAATGTACCTCTATCGAAAGGTGTTGCAGTCAGCATCTGCTTGTAGTAGTAATAGTAGAGCCCGCTGCCTCCCTGGAAGGTGATTTCCCGCTCTAGCTCCTGAGACACAAGTAATTGAATTTCAGAATTGATGCAGTGAACTTGAAATGCATGCAGGCAGACTCCTGAAAAACAAAGTCACCCACCTGTCTAGTGGAAAACCAGAACTTCCTGTCATGATAAGCAGACAGATACGCTGCATAGAGCATGCCACAGGCAACTGCCGCCAGACATCCGAAGAACACCCTCACCAGGCGCTGCAAAACACCTGCAGAGCACATACCAGTGAACACACCATATATCACATCATACTTATTAGTATAATGACACGTTTTTGCCTGTATTTTCATAGAAACTCTTTTTTTCGCAATTCTCTATAAATTGTTTTTAACTGCTGATAAAGTGTTTGAGGCTATTTCTTAAACAACATTACAATGTCAACTTTTTTTAATTTGTTTTACTATTTCCAGTTATTTTACAACTCTTTTTAGCTGAATTCTAGTTCAGTATTGTTCTTAAGCTTTAAATTAGATACAAAAATGTTTGTATTGTGATTAACAATAAGAAAAAATGTATTGGCACACACTTTACATGAAAAAGGTACTATAAACCTGTTGTGAGATTTCCGAGGTTAAACAAAGTAGTGAGAGCAATACAAAAAGATCAATTAGTCTAGATTCACATAAAAAAAAGTTATTTTTTTAGTTAATCAATACCTCCTACACAGAGTTATGTTAAGTTCAGTTTTTGTTTGTCTGCAGGATAACAGAAACATTAGTTGACCTATATTCATGAAAGTTGGTGAAAGGTAGTAGCATGGGCCGATGAAGAAAACTTTACATTTTGAAGCATATCTGAATCAAGGGTTGCATTAATGCATTCTTTTTCACTTTGCCCTTCAAGTTTTTAGTGTGTTCCAATGAAGGTGAGTGAAATTGTATGAATTGCTGGTATGATTGTTTTATCTGTCCATCAGCATTTCCTGTGAAACTCAGGATACAGACATGTGGTTTTAGAGGAAGTATAGGCCTACAAATGTTTTTTTACACAATAATATATGATTAAAGTCAGGTCTTCTTAAATGTCACAAAACATTAAAAGGTTTATGCTCATTTTGATTATATGGCTTATTGAGTACAATAAAACGTTGTATAGAAGTGACACAGCCATACAAAAAGATGATCAGAGAAGCATTGGTAGAGTGGGAAAAAAACAGTGGACTGACAGTAATATTGATCAGTTTGCAGGGCATTAATTTACCTGCAGAAGATCTCGTGGGTCTTTTAACAGGTGACTCGGGTGTTTTTGATTCTTCTTCTTTATGTTGAGCGTCCTCTTCTTTAACCTCACCCTCATCTTTCTGCTGCTTTCCGGCTCCATTTCTGCCAATGGACACCTCATCCTCCTCTGTTTTCACCGGCTCTTTAATACAAGGTCAGGTTACAACAGTTAGGTACTTTAACGACAAGCTGTGTACAAATGTAAATGTAAGTTACCCGGATGTTTTTTGAACAGGAAGCTAACCGTTTTAGCTAGCAAGGCGCAAAATTCGCCAAACTTACTTGCCGTCTGCACCTCAGGTTCATGTTGGCTCTCCCCCTCTTCTTTATCTCCATCCAAAGTGTATTTTTTCCGACATTTTAACTCAGTCATGACGAGATACAATTAATCCGAGGAGTTGTCTGGTGTGTTGAGACACCAGCATGCTAGCTAACAAGAGGTTAGCTAACCCAAGAGCCCTCAAATCAGTACTTCGCTTTGTGGTAAACTACACAGGTGACAAGCCGAAATACAAACAACCCTTTTCTGGTTCAAGTTGTCTTGTATTAAGTTGTAAATCAGCAGTTTTTTGTATTGGTGATATGGACTGTTATGAGGACTGGACTGTGGGCTCTTACAGCGGAAGTCGCAGATGGCTTCTTCTTCATCATTCCGGCAGAGTAGGCTCAGATGCAGTAAGTGCATCTGTAGCATTTAGCTGCCTCCCACCGGTGCTTTGCCCCTTGTGGTCTTATTTGTAGTATTGCATAGCTCTCTCTTTTGATATATTCTATAGACATACTACATATCAATTTAAACCATAGATAATACAGCTTGTATGGTAACTTGTACCTCATCTTTCCCATTGCCAGTAGTGTAAAAGTACAGTTACTCAAGTACTGTACTTAAGCTCAATGAGGAAGTTTGTCCTTTACAAACATGAGTATCTCTAGTTTCTGCTCCTTTTTTATTCTACCCCACTACAATTCCAGCTAGTATTGTACTTTTACTCCACCACATTTATTTAATACCTTAAGTTATTTTGCAGATATGGATTAATGATATAAAACATACTCAGCACTTATAGGACTTTAGTTACACCTGGATTAAAATTCACAAATACCCAGCAGTAAATAAAATAATAATAAATAGTTCCACTTTACAAGCTATTATAAACCTATTAATGCATCAATATTTATAATGAAAACATATATATATCATTCCGAAATTGGCCAATCTGGATAATAAGTACTTTTACTTTTGGTAGAAATTTTTTAAAAACTTTATTTTTTCTTCTATACGATATAGTATACTAGATTAAACACACCAACTAATACAAAAACAATGTCCTACTATGTTTCAATTTTGGTTTGTTGAACAAGACAAATTGCTTTTGAACAGTATTTTCTTTCTTTCAATTGGCTTTGTTAACACATACGTGTTAACTCAAACGTGATTTGAATATTAAAACATTGAATGAACAATATAAATAATTTTCCCACAGTAAAATCCTCTTTTGAGAAATGGTTCAACTGCAGCCCAATGTCAAAATGTTGAATTGAGTCAAAATTAAATGAACACATTTGTGATTTCAGTGTGCAAAAATCATTGATTGACTTGACAATCACAGTAAAATGTTCATATGAAAGCACAAATATCAGTTACATCAATGTGTTAAAATATTCTTTAAAAACATTTAAAACCAGAAAGAACACAGTTAGTGCAAACAATATTAAAAATAGTAAAAGAACATAAAAGACGACATCACATTTTTATCAGGAACCTGCTAAATCTGGTCCCAAAGTAAAAAGAAAAATGGGAGTACATTTCCCAACACCTAATGTATGTACTGTATACAAAACACACATTTAAACTTAACAATACCACTGGGATTCTTTAAGGAGCTATCTCTCTGGCAGATTTCCACTTTCAACAATAAAACTATCAAAAAAACACCATAACCAGTATTCCATCTGCTTATTCTTCTTCTGGTGAGTCGATGTTCGAGATCATTTCATCATCAGGAATCTTTTTTTCTGTTTTGGAGTGTAGGAATAACGTTAGTCTTTTTTTTTCAGATTTTATAGTAACATATACAATGACTTGATCATGTAATAAGTACCTGGACTGGTTTTGTGCAGGGCTCCGGCTTCTTCCAGATCACACCTCTCCACGATTATTCTCATGAGTTTGGTCACTTGTGGGTGTTTAGCGGCGTCGAATAAAGGCTCATCGTCGCAACTGTTGCTTGAAGACGCTGAAGAAAAAGAATGATACAAAAAATGTGGCTAATAACTACAAAAATCCAGATTGATCAATTAAAAAAGAAAATCTTCACAATACTACATTTGCTTCAATATTTATTTTCGTGTTTTTTTTTTTAGGAACACATTGTCTTGCCTCTAGAAATAGTCCTACACTCCTTTTGTTATGCTATGTATTTGAACTCTGTTAATATATCTTCACGAGCCAAGACTTTTTACCTGAAACATTCTTCTTTTTTGGCTTTTTGGGAGTTGTGTTCCTCTTTTTCTTTGCTGGTGAAGCTTTCGTTTGTTTGCCTCTACTTTGCCTTTTTACAACATTAACTAAGGGTTCATAGTCCGAGCTGCCATCGGAGAGATCTGAGCTGCTGCTGGTCCACTCTGAAATATAAAACACAAATGCATGACACACAATATTAGATGCTTTACAATTCTACACATTCCTGAATATTCTTTATCCAGTGAGGACCTGCGTTCTTTTTCTTCTTTGCAGGTGAAGCCTTTGTTTTGTTTTTTGTTTGTCTGTCTGGGGTTTTCTTTTTCCCAACATTAATCAAGGTTTCATCATCTGAGCTGTCGCTTGTCGTGTCTGAAAATAATTCAAGTAAAATAAATAGAAAGCATAATAGGAATGTCCTACTATAAAAAGGTTCTTAGATATTCTTCTATCCAGTGAAGACTCTTGCTGAGCAACTAAACGGTCTCCACTGTTGGTGTCGTTATATGCAGATTCTGTCACCTGTGTTGTTCTTCTTCGCAGGTGAAGCCTTTGTTTTGTTTTTTGTTTGTCTGTCTGGGGTTTTCTTTTTCCCAACATTAATCAAGGGTTCATCATCTGAGCTGTCGCCTGTCGTCTCTGAAAAAGTATTATTTTTAACGTCAGTGCAAGACAGATAATAAGAGAATGCTTCACAATACCACGTCTTCTTAAAGTGGCCCTGTTATGCACCTTTTCAGTTTGATATATGTATATTGTACTCCTACCGTGACGTGTTTACATGCTGTAACGTACAAAAATACTGTTGTGATTGGACAACAGCATGGAGATGTCCCTACCCCATCTTGTACAATGTTTTGGAGCACAAGCTAATAGAAGCGTAAGTGTTACATAGTGATATCTTTATGTTATCGAAGGGGGTGTGGTTTGGGTAGTGGGTGGGAGAGAAACTCTCTTTGAGCCTTTGGAGACCATTTTCATGCATTAAACCTATCGAACACACTACAGGAAAGAGGGCCTTTTAAAAAATGGTTTCGAGGGAAGGGGTTTTCATAAGGAACCACATCATCTACACTGCTGGTGTAGTGATATGCTTTTTACTTTTACTGTCACCTGTAGTCCTCTTTTTTTTTTTAGCAGGTGAAGCCTTCGGTTTGTTTTTTCTTCTTTTGTTTGTGCTTTTCTTTTTCCCACCATAAGAGCTGTCGCTTGCCGTGTCTGAAAAATAACAATTGAAAACATAAATACCTAACACAATAGGTATGTGCTTCACGGTAAACCATTTTCTAAGCTATTGTTTAACATGGATTTTCTGTCACCTATGTTCTTCTTCTTTGCAGGTGAAGCCTTCGTTTTTTTCCTTGTTTGTATGTTTGCGGTTTTCTTTTTCCCGAAATGACTCAAGGGTTCATCATCTGAGCTGCTTGTTGACTCTGAAAAAGTATGATTGGAAACATAAAATAATAGGAATGTGTTTACCTCATTATCTCAACTGTTGGTGTTAAGATTTGCATTTTGCCGTCACCTGTGTTCGTCTCCCTTTTTGCACGTAAAGCTTTTTGTTGAATTTTTCTTTGTGTGTCTGTGGTTTTCTTTTTCGCGACATTAATTACAGGTTCATCGTCTGAGCTGTCGCTTTTTGACTCTGAAAAATAAGTAATAAAAACACATCAATCACAGACGTAAATATTTGTTGATCCAGTAAAGTATTTGCTGAGGAAGCACATTATCTCCACAGTTCATTTTCATTTTCTGTCACCGGCGTTCCTCTTCTTCTTCGCAGGTGAAGCCTTCGGTTTGACTTTTGTTTGTCTGTCTGTGCTCTTCTTTTTCCCAACATTAATCAGGGGTTTATCGTCCGGACTATCGCTTGTCGACTCTAAAAAAATATGAATCAAACATAAATGATTGACAGAAAATAGAAATCCATAATTGTTTGAATCTATTCTTTCTATATTGTAAAATACTGTAATATAAAGAATACACAATGCTTATAAAGAATTTGTATTCCTGTATTTATTTTCCTGTCTTTTCAATTTGTTGTATATCCCTTTGAATGAGATAACACAATTAGAAATCAAATTAAAAAAGTTGCAATTATTTTAATATTAATAAAAGACAAGAAAAAATGCTTTAAAATACTCACAATAACACAAAAATAAAGTTTTCATGAGTATCTGTTTTTCAAGTAAAGAGTTAGGAATCTCACTGTTGATGTTACGATAAGTGTTTTCTTTTCTTTCACTTCAACTGGCTAACACTGGCTGGGCTGGACTCTTTACCTGTCGTCTTTTTTGACTTTGTGTTCCTCTTCGGAGTTGAAGCCTTTTTGGTTTGTTTCTTCTTTTCCGAAAGATTACTCAAGGGTTCATCCTCTGAGCTTTCATCCGAGGATCCTGCCAAACAACAGCCACAGAGGTAAGGAATGGATATTCAAATGTCATCATGTTTTGATCACGTCATGATTCCTGCTACAGTACCTCGTCTCTTTGTGGACCCTCTGCCTTGCGCTGCGGTTTTCTTCTTTGTGTTTTCCTTCACTGGTTCCTTCTTTTTGGCAACCAGATTCACCAAGGGCACATCGTCATCACCGGAGCTGCTGTCTTTAGGCGCCTTCCTCTTCATTGGTGACCGTGGTTCATCATCTGAGCTGTCACCAGAAGACTCATCGTATTTAACTACAACAAACAAAACATAAATATTTGGTGAAAGAATTACAAGTAAAGCATTTTTGATGACTTTTGACTTGCACATTTTCACTCATACCCTCTTTCCTTGCTGAGTTCCTTTTTGATCTGACGACTGGGGCCGCTTTTCTAGGAGTCCCAGACGGTGACTTTCTCTGACGATTGGGGTAACGTTTCTTGCCAACTTTCCTCAGAGGCTCATCATCACAGTCATCATCAGAGTCATCATCGTCATCCATTGATTCTGGGTGAGAAAAGCAAGTAAGTAGAAAAGTTTCTTCAACAGAGAAAAGCCCTTATCTGTTGCATGTCAACGTATAGAACATATGTTACCTTTCTTCTTAATAACAACAGATTTCTTTGGAGAGACCGAGGAAGTCTTCTTTGCAGCTTTTGAGGGCTTTTTGGCCTTTTTTATGAGAGGCTCATCGTCGGAGTCATCATCTGTATTCTTATCTGAAACGTTTAGATATATCAAAAGATTTAAAGCCATACTTTACCGACTGAAATGTTGTAAGTGACATGATTATGTAACAACCTGCTTTCTTGTCACTTGTGCCATTTGATTTGAGTGACGTGTTGTCTTTTTCCTCAGCTGGAGCAGAGACTTTTTTCTTTTTGATCAAAGGTTCATCATCTGAGGAGTCATCAGAAGCTAAAACAGGGGAAGGAATACAATTATAGAATGCATCAGCTTAGCTTTGAACTGTTACAACTGTTGACAGTCAGTCTTATTTATTTTTTAACTCACCTTGTTCTTCCTTTTTTGAGTTAACGTCGTCTTCAGAGCAGGAGCTGTTATTCTCTGATCAGACATGATGAAGAAAACAGTAATAACATTTACATTTTGGTCTGGTAAAATGATTTACAAGTTCAACAATATATTTGGACGCAACAAAATTCCCTTTTTTCTAGTATACATATCCTGATTTAAGTACGTATTTTCCACTACTTATAGCCAACTCTACAATTAACTCAGAAATGTGTGTCTAGTTAACGAGACTGAAAACAAGGCATATCCCCAAAACAGTCATAACAAAATATTTCCTTAACTAGGTAACTTAAGTAAACATTGTCATAAAACAGTAGCCTATAAATAGGTTAGTGACCACTCCTGCAATCAAAAATATGTAGTGACAGTACTTGAGTTTGGTTAGCAAAGCACATGTAAATATGTTGCTTATAGATGACTACTGATCAATGCACAAGTCAAGTTTAACCTGTTTGTATTATACTTCAAAATATGTTTGTAAAGGGGGGAAAAAGTATTGAGATATAGAGTAGTAAAGTTTCTAAATACTAGAAGTTTGAACTCCTACCCTTTTTCCTTGCTGCGTTCCTTTGTGATCTGACTGAGGCCGCTTTTCTAGGAGTCCCAGATGGTGACTTTCTCTCACGTTTGGGGTAATGTTTCTTGCCAGGTTTACTCAGAGGCTCATAATCCGAATCATGATCATCGTTATCCAGGGATTCTGTGTAAATAATGGTAGTTACAATCACGCGTCTGCTACAGAGAACAGCACCTTTCTGTCGCATGTCAATGTAGAGAACACACACTGACTGGCCACTTTATTAGGTTCATCTGTTCAACTGCTTGTTAATACAAATATCTAATCAGCCAATCACATGGCAGCAACTCAATGCATTTAAGCATATACACATGGTCAAGACGACCTGGTGAAGTTCAAACGGAGCATCAGAAAGGGGAAGAAAGGTGATTTAAGTGACTTTGAACATGGCATGGGTGTTGTGCCAAGCGGCTGGTCTGAGTATTTCAAAAACTGCTGATCTACTGGGATTATCACGCACAACCATCTCAAGGGTTTACAGAGAATGGTCCGAAAAGGGAAAATATCCAGTGAGCGGCAGTTCTCTGGGCAAAAATGCCTTGTTGATGCCAGACTGAGGTCAGAGGAGAATGGCCAGACTGGTTAAAGATGATAGAAAGGCAACAGTAACTAAAATAACCACTCGTTACAACCAAGGTATGCAGGGGACCATCTCTGAGCGCACAACATGTGGAACCCTGAAGCAGAGGGGCTACAGCAGCAGAAGACCACACAGGTTGCCACTCCTGTCAGCTACGGAGAGGAAACTGAGGCTACAATTTGCACAGGCTGAACAAAATTGGACAATAGAAGATTGGAAAAATGTTGCCTGGCCTGATGAGTCTCGATTTCTACTGCGACATTAGGACCACAGGGTCAGAGTTTGGTGTAAACAACATGAAAGTATGGATCCATCCTGGCTTCTATCAACGGTTCAGGCTGGTGGTGGAGGTGTAATGGTGAGAGGGATATCTTCTTGGCATACTTTGGGACCCTTGGGCATGGTTAAAAACGCCACAGCCTACCTGAGTATTTTTGCTGACCATGTCCATCCCTTTATGACCAGTGTAACCATCTTCCAGCAGGATAACGTGCCATGTCACAAAGCTCAAATCATCTCCAACTAGTTTCTTGAACATGACAATTACTGTCATTAAAATGGCCTCCACAGTCAGCAGATCTCAATCATATAGAGCACCTTTGGGATTTGGTGGAACGAGAGATTTGCATCATGGATGTGCAGCCGACCAATCAGCAGCAACTGCGTGATTGCTATCATGTCAATATGGACCAAAATCTCTGAGGAATGTTTCCAGCACCTTGTTGAGTCTATGCCACAAAGAATTAAGGTGAAGCTGAAGGCAAAAGGGGTCCAACCCGGTACTAGCAAGGTGTGCCTAATAAAGTGGCTTGTGAGTGTATGTTACCTTTCTTCTTCAAATCAACTGATTTTTTTGGAGAGACCGAGGAAGTCTTCTTTGCCGCTTTTGAGGGCTTTTTGGCCTTTTTTATGAGAGGCTCATCGTCGGAGTCATCATCTGTATTCATATCTGAAACATTTAGATATATCAAAAGATTTAAAGCCATACTTTATAGACAGCTAAAATGTTGTAAGTGACATGATTATGTAACAACCTGCTTTCTTGTCACTTGTGCCATTTGATTTGAGTGACGTGTTGTCTTTTTCCTCCACTTCCTCAGCTGGAGCAGAGACTTTTTTCTTTTTGATCAAAGGTTCATCATCTGAAGGGTCATCAGAAGCTAAAACAGGGGAAGACAGTAGAGGTTTCTCAATACTCTAATTTCCCCTCCTCGACTCCTCGGTCCTCCGGTAGTGACCCGGAAATGGATTTCAGCTCGCCATGTTGAAGGACATCTCATTTCTCTAAATGCACATCGAGGACCGAGCATCGAGGAGGCTCTCTGGAGGAGCTATGATCGAGGATACACTGATGCATTCTCCACGGCTCCTCCACGGATGCATTTCCGGGAACGGTGGAGGCTTGACGCACGGCCGGACTTATCTCAGTCAATGACAGCTCTGCATGCATCCCCTGGATATTATTTTATTAACTGCTTTCATCGCGACGCGATGTTTACAGTGAGAACAGCTGTGAGGTCCGTGCAGAAAGCAGAGCAGTGTGTATAATATATATCACTCAGTATAACAGGCCTACTCTCTTTATTTGCTTCAGTTTAGTAGATAACTACTAACAAAGAGTCGATATTTTTCGAAGAGCATTCAGTGCTTCACATAATAAAATACACAACGGCTGTAGCCTGATTATGCTTTAGGAGCAGTAGGTGTGTGTGGTACAGTGTGTAGGTGTGTGTGTTACAGTGCGTAGATGCGGCGGACAGACGGGTCTCAGTTGGTTTGGTGTCCTATGCTTACTTCTAATACTTGTACAAGTACATAAAAATATTGGCCAAAATACAACTTTTGGCCCATAATTGCAATTCCCCATATCAGCGACCAGAGAGAGAGGGGGGGGGGAGATATAGCCAGTCTCTGATTGTGTTACGTTATGAGTGCTCTCATACTTGTTTGATTCTGAAATTGTGTGTGTTTATATGTCCGCATCTGTAGCCTGTTATTGTCTCATTATACCGCACTGTCAATGAATTAAAAGTAAATATATAAACGTCATGAACACATCTGTCCATCAGACAGAGGGCTGCTGTGCCTCCTGTCATCATTAATGGACGTCTCTTTAAAATGACCGCTCAGAGGAGAGGAGTTCTCATTTCTCTAACCGCCTGCTGCTTCCCCTCCTCTCCTCAGTTCCCCTCCTCAGTCCTCCGCTCGCATCTCCTGTGGGTTGGACTAAGTCTCGAGGATAGGAGTCGAGGATAGGAGTCGAGGAGGGGAAATTAGAGTATTGAGAAACCTCTATTAACATACAACGTGTATTACCTTAGCTTTTAACCATCACAAATTGTTGGCAGTCTGTTTTATTGTTTTGAACTCACCACGTGTGTCCTGTTTTGACTTAGTGCTCGAGCTGTGTGTGTTTTCATGTGACTGCTTCTCCTCAATGTCTGGCTTGGCCTGGAGCTTTGAGAGAGTAACGTCATCTTCAGAGCAGGTGTTCCCTGATCAGAGACACAATGGGATGAATAACAATAATAACATTTCAAATATAGTCTATTAAAATGATCATAAAAGTTTAACAAAACATTTCTATCAAATGCATTATCTGATTTAAGAAAGTATTTTCCAGATATTGGAAGTGACTAAACATTTGACTCAGAAATGTATTTAAAGTTTAACACTCTTTAACAGATACTTTGAGACTAAAAAGAAGGCATGTCCACAATTGAGTAATACAAATGTGTATTTCTTCGACATATAAGTAAAAGTTGTATTAGAACAGTTAAAAACACTTTGGGGACAAGTTCTGAAATCAAAAGTACCATAACATTTTACTGAGGTACAGTGCTTAAACAACTCCCCGCCACAGCTTTTTACCAGTAGTACCACTAGTATAGACCACTACAAGTACAATTTAATACAAGTTTACAAGTTAATCTACGAACACATTGCTCACATTTCCTTTTTTTCTATATTAAAGTTACAGCATAAGGATGATTGTTTGTCGCCTGTAGTTACAGAGTTTATTTTTAAGTAATAGTAGATACAACAGTTTAAAATAATTGAGAAATAAAAGTAACGTTACTATAACATTTTACCCATCTACAGTAGACCGTTTTAACTACTTTCAACACTGTTAATCCTATCAAACTCTCTTAAATACTATCCTGGTAAATAACGTCATTGTATTGGTCAGTTTGAAACTCTACCATCTTCACTGTTAAAATACACAGTAGTAAAAGCAGTTGTGGTAGTGTTTTACTTCAATACTGTAAGCTAATTTTAGCTTTTAGCTGCAACGCAGTCCAATACATCGTTTGGATATGAATTAGCGTTAAATAAACAAAACAAACAAATAGTAAGGCTAACAACCTGGAGGGTCTTGGGCCACTTGACTCGGAACGTCCGCCGTGTTGCAGTCCATGGTGTTGCTCAGTACGAGTTAATCAATACTCTGGATCCGAAACGCGCCAATCTGCTTGAACTGCAATGCAGCTGTTAGCCTCTGAGTTAGCTAAATGTTTGTTGTGATTGTTGTCACCGGCAGTTACGTGTGCTGGTGCTGGTCCGCGATAGTTAAACGACAGTCCCTGTTTCACAGAGTGTCATCAAACACGCTTTAAAATCTAGTTTCTCCAGTCCTTATTAATGTCATATTTTCAGGGTTTTTTTTCCTCTTTCTTCCGTGTCGTTGTCACTACCCGATCTGCCGCCCTGACCTATCTGCAGTGCGCATGTGCGAGATGGTCCGCCATATTGGACAACTCTGTACGGCAACCCAAGTAGGACACTTGACACAGTGGCTTTTGGCAAAGCACAAAAAGAAAACTAACTTCTGTTAGACAGCTATATGCCATACATTTTTGCATACATCCACAGTAAATATTTATTCATTATGATAGCTGTCCAACATAAGTTAAATTCATTTCTCACTTATTCTGACAATGTACTTAACCCCAAATAAAAGAACCCAATAAAAAGAGTTGTTAAATAATAGTGAAGTCACGTTGTAATAACAATAACTCATCTCTCTCGAGTTTTCTTTTTGTGCTTTGCCAAAAGCCACTTTGTCAAGTGTCCTACTTGGGTTGCCGTACGGAGTTGTCCAAAATGGCGGACCATCTCGCCAGGGCCGCCTTAATGCACGGGCTGACCTGGGCTGAAGCCCAGGGGCCTACGGAGATCGAGGGCCTATCATGAGCAAATAAAAAAAAAAAAAAAAAAAAAATTCAATTTTTTTATTTTTTTATTTCGGGTGTTTTAAAAAAAAAAGTTAAATAAACTAAGTCT